TATATATATATATACACATGTATATATATATATATATATATAGGGATTAAAACTGTGAGACCCCATTTCTTTTCCGCTTCTCCTTTCTCTCCCTCACTTTCATAACTTTACTCTCTTATTCTCTTCCTTCCCCATTGACAAGCTTTTCCCCCATTCTCTCTTCTAATTTTTCTTCTATTCCTTGCTCTCTCAAGGTGCTAAGTAGTAGTGTTGGAAGCTAGCTGAGGCGTAGATTTCCTTTTCTTCTCCTTCTTCATCACTTTCTCCTTCCCAGAAGCTTGGAACTTCTCCTCTGAGGTAAGGGAAGTTAGATTGTTGCTGGTTGTTTGGAATTGAGTTTAGAAACTCATGTGTTGGTTGCTTTTAGAAGATTGATGGTTTGATGGATGAAAAATGTGTTTTCGGGTTTTCGGGGTTTTGGAAAAAAAAATGGGGTTTTGATGTTTTCATGGTTGCATGTTGTTAAAGCTGTGATTTTTGAGCTGTTTGATGATAATGTGGTTCATTGAATGGATTGCATGTGGCTTAGCTGGTTGTTTTTGCAGGTTTTGATGAAAATTTTCAAAGTTTGAGAGTTGTTGCTTGATAGGGCGCCGGGCGTAGTTCTTGACGCCGAGCGCGTGACCATCAGAGGATTATATTGGTCAAGCCCGCCAGGCACAAGGTTGTGTGCGCCGGGCGAGCTTGAGAATGGAAGCCCCTGGATGGCTCACGTCAGGCATGGTTGGACCGCGCTGGGCACGATATCAGTCAGGGACTCACCTTGTTGGGGTTCTGGTATGGCACCGAGCGTGATTACGTCTCGTCGGGCGTGGAGACTCCTTGGGAGTCTTTGCCAAGGGGGCGCCGGGCGCAATTGGTATTGCGCCGGGCGTGAGACCTTGGAGAGGTCTCTTCCTTCCCTATGCCGAGTGCGGGTTTGGTACGCTGGGCGCGTGAGACTCCTGAGAGTCTCTGCCTTCGTTTGCGCTGGGCACAATTAGTATTGTGTCGGGCGCGTTTGAGCCTTGGAGCTCTCTGGTTGGTCCACGCCAGGCGCAAGTACTCTTGTGTCAGGCGCGAATGTGTTCTTTCTTTAATATGCTGATTTAAGCTGTTAATGCTGAATGTTGTTTAAGCTGATTAATGATGAGTTGTGCTGTGAGATGTTCATGCTGAATTATGATGTTTAAGCTGTATTGTTGTAAAAGTTAAGCTGTGTCGTATGTTGTATGATGTTATTGCTGCTATGTTGTGTTGTGCTGAATGTTGAATATAAATTGTTATAGGTCGTAAGGCTGAGTTGTTGTATGTCGTAAGGCTGAGCTGTTGTAGGCCGTAAGGCTGAGCTGTTATAGGATATCTTCGAGCTGATATGCGTGACGACGCATTGTTTGTTTAATGTTGTTTTGCTGAATGATGTGAGGTGTATATATGATGTGTTGTATGTTGATCTTGCTGAACTTAATGATGTGCTGATAAGCTGTAGCTGTTTATAATTTCTGTACTTATATATATATATGCTGATTCTTTTCACTAGCTTACCCTTATTATTTCCATATGGTTTGGATTGCATGATCATACTGTGTATGAGAGCAGAGTAGGAATAAGCTGATGTATTGAGGCAGGTCTGCAACTGACAGATGGAGAGGATCTGTTTTGTTGTTTTTGACTACCTAGTGTAGTTAGGCTGATGGTTGTTGTATATTTGACTTTGAGCCCCAGGCTAGACATATGTGTATATATATTCTATTTTTATATATGTATGCTCTATTCTGCGTGGTGTTGTTTGTTGTGTGACGGCTAGGCGGGTCGTTACAAAAACAATATCTTTTAAAATTATATGGACTAAAATACAAATTTTAAAATTTTAAAACTAAAATAATAATTACTCCAAGTTTAGAGGACTATTAAGTCCTATTTAATATTTATAAAATGCACAAATGTTTTAAAATAAAAATAAGATATAATAATTTATTTTTTAAATTGTGATTACAATCATAAAATGTATAATAATATTTTTTTTAATGTTTATTTTTTTATATTTTGTTTGGAAAGAAAATATTTTGGTGTGAGATTTACTATATTCTTTATTATTATTATTTTCTTTATTTTTTTTTTGGTAAAATAGGGGGCTAAAGCCCAATCAAATAATCAATAAATTGAAAGAAAAGCAGAATTATCTGCTAATAACAAGTGATAAATAAAAGACGGAGGAGACTCGTAAAAAAAAAAGTCTTCCTCTAAAACCATCCCGCGCTTAGCAAGAGTGTCCGCAACTAAATTTACTTCTCTTGAAATATGGTAACATGAAAACAAGGAGAATTGATTACTCAGCTCTCTTATCTCTTGAACAAGGTCAAAATATGGGTGAGAACCAAAGCAACCTTCATTAACAAGCCTCACTGCAGTGGAAGAATCCGACTCAATTATCACCTGACGACCCAAATTCCTATTAACTAGAATGCGCAATCCATGTAGAATGGCCTATAGCTTCGATTTAAGGATGGAGCACATACCTAACTTCCTTGTGAATGCCACCACGAACCTGCCATCTGAGTCCCGGATCACTCCTCCACATGAGGCCATATTCTCTCTAGACACAGCCCCATCACAATTTAGTTTTAAGATACCTTCTGGAGGTTTCATCCAACTGAGTCTAGAGTTATAATTAACTTCCCCAACTTGTGATTGTTGATTAAGACCATATGTGGTAGCAGATATCATTCGAGCATTTATTTCATCTACTACTTGATTAGCTGTGATGGATTGGCCTTGAAAAATGGCTTTGTTTCGGCAGTGCCATAATGAATCCAATGTAATAGCAAATCTATAGTTCCACCCAGGAGGGGAACGATTAGAGTTTGATAAGTTCTTCAACAACCAGGGTTGTAAATTATCTTGATCTGCAAGCATCCAAGATGGATCTCTACATGACTTGGACCACACTTCTTGGGCAAATCTGTAATCCCTGAGCACATGTAGACTATCTTCCTCACCTTGTAAGCAGATACTGCACAATGGATTCATTGTCATTCTACGTCGAGCACGACAAGAGTTTGTCAATAAACTTCCATGTGCTACTCTCCATAAGAATACACGAACCCTTTCAGGGCCCTTCCACTTCCAAATAGTTTTAAACAAGGGGGATCTAGGGGGAAGGGAAAGATTTGCAGCAACACCATAAGCTGATTTAATTGTAAACTCTCCATCTAAGATCTGATTCCAAATCACCCTATCCATTCCAGCATCATCTGATGGCGGAGATTGACTCTGAATAGCTATCCATAACTCATGAGGGATCCATGACTCAATCTGCGACAGCTCCCATTCCCCTTGTTCATTTGTGTAGTCTTTGACTGATTTGAATAGGTCAACTAGGGGAATATCCACCAAGGCCTTTTGAAGAAGAGGAGGGTTTCCAGATAGCCAATTATCTAACCAAAAGTTAACTCTTCGACCATTACCTACTCTCCACCGCACCTGATGGATCACCAAATTCCATGAATCACATATTCCTTGCCATAAGTTAGACATTCTGGGTCTCCTCTCGACTTTTGGGATAGTGTCATTTGAACATTTATACTTAGCTCTGATAACCTTCACCCATAGTTTGTGAGGCTCTGTTATCAAACTCCAACAATTTTTCATCATGAATGATGTATTGACATCACGCATCCGTCTCAAACCAAGCCCCCCATGTTCCTTTGGTAGACATAATTTCTGCCACCCAATGGCATGATGTCTCCTGTGATCTACATTATCTCCCCACAGGAAGTTACGAAAAATACGGTCAGCCTCATCACACAACAAACGAGGGAGCTGAACAGTTTGCATTGTATAAGAAGGGAGCGCTGCTAGAACTGATTTGGTAAGTGTAAGCCTCCCTGCAAAGGAAAGATTTCTAGCCTTCCAACCACTCATCCTTTGATGAAGTCTGTCTATAATACCTTGATAGGAAGCCCTACTCACCCTACTATGATGAGTAGGGATACCTAGGTACTTACCTAAGTCATCTATTTGTTGGAAACCAAGTGCAGAACTAATAGAGGTTTTGACAGAAAAGTCCACGTTCTTTGAGAAGAAAACACATGTTTTCTCAATGTTAATTTTTTGCCCTGAGCTTGCATAGAAGGCGTTCAGACAAGATTGGATAATTTCTGCTTGCTCTAAAGAAGCTTCAGCAAACAACACTAGGTCATCCGCAAAGGCTAGATGTGACAAAGCAGGCCCTTCCTTAGATAGTTTAATAGGCTTCCACAGATTCTCAGACACCTTTAGATTAATCAGCTGGAAAAGACGTTCCATGCATAGAACAAATAAGTATGGGGATATGGGATCTCCTTGTCGAAGGCCACATGTGGGTTGGAACTCCTCAAGGGCTTCTCCATTCCAAAGCATGCGAAGATTTGAAGTTGAAATGCAAGCCCAAACTATATCAATGAATTTTTGGGGCAAGTGAATGTCATGAAGGGTCTCTTTTACAAAGCTCCACTTTAGACGATCATACGCCTTTTCAAGATCAATCTTGAGAGCCATCCAATCTTTTCTTCCGGATTTGTAGCGCATAGAGTGTACAACTTCTTGAAAAATAATAACGTTGTCCTTACTATTCCGATGTGGAATGAAGCTGCACTGGTTGGGATGAACTAACTTATCCATAACCTGTCGAAGACGATGAGATAAAACCTTTGTCAGGATTTTGTAGGACACGTTACATAGTCCTATAGGTCTCATCTGTCTTAGATGTGTTACACTTTCCATTTTAGGAACTAAAGTAATCAAGGTAGAATTAATATTGGCAACTAAAGATGGATTATCTTCAATATCATGCAGTAGGCGACAGACTGCAGATCCAACAATGTCCCATTGGGATTGGTAGAAGATTGTTGGAAGGCCATCAGGTCCCGGTGCTTTTAATCCCCCCATCTGTTTGACCACAAGCAGTATCTCTGTATCACTAATGGGTTTCCCAATCTCTTGCAACTCTTCTTGCTCTAACAAAGGAAAAGCATGTGAGAGGCAAAAAGGAGGCGAAACAGTCGTATCAGAGAATAAAGCTTTATAGAAGTTTGTTACCATTACTTCTAAATCTTCCTATCGAGAAACCCAATTATCATTCTCATCCATTAACTTTTCAATACGATTCCTTCTTCGACGTACAATAGTCGTTCCATGAAAAAAGCGCGTGTTCCTATCCCCCAACATAAGCCATTTACATTTTACAACGAGATTTCTGTAGCCAAAATATTTCTTCTTGCACCAAGATACGATCCAAGCTAGTCCATAACTCAGCTTGTAATCTTTCTAGATAGTGGTTTGGACCCTTTAGGAGTTCACGAGCAATGCCATTTAGCCGACGTAGGAGACGGTGCTTAGCATGAAAGATATTTCCAAAGGTGGCCTTATTCCACTCCTTCAAGGCACCCTTAGTATGATCAATACGGAGACTCCAATTATAATGAGTATTCCATTGTTTTTTCAAAAAGGCTGAAAAGGAATCATGAGTAAGCCATGCAGCTTCAAAACGAAAAGGCCGTCTACCACTGCGAACGTAACAACCCGAAGAAAACTTTACGAGAATTGGAGCATGATCGGACTTTAAGGGGTTAAGATGAGTGAGAGAAGCCTCCGGAAATAATATACGCCAATCAAATGAAGCTAACGATCTATCCAACCTTTCAAACACTGGACCCCTACGCCAAGTAAAAGGAGCTCCATTATATCCAATATCCAAGAGTTGACATTTATTCACAAACTCTCGAAATGCAGTATCACCTCTAAGGCTAGCACTAACTGAACCACCTGAGCGTTCATATGGTCTAAGGACAGCATTAAAATCACCTATTAAGTTCCACGGCCCATCAATCAAATTTCCAATCCTGCTAAGGTCATTCCATAGAGAAATACGACCTTGAGGTTGAGGGCTGGCATACACTAGAGTACAATACCAAGGCTTTTCCCCATTGAGAATCTTTAGGTGAATAAATTGTGAGTTATTTTCCAGAATATCAAGGTGCCATTGGCGTGAATCCCATAAACACCAGAGTCCTCCTGCTTGTCCATTAGCATGTACCAGAAAGGATTTATCTAGCGAAATCCTATTTATCACTCGTAAGGCTTTTTCACCACTAATATGAGTCTCCATGAGGCAAAGCATGCCTATGTTATATTCTTTAATCAAATCATTCATCAATGAAGAGAATCCCCGACTCCCAGCACCTCTACAGTTCCAGGTCAATAAATTCATTAAGAATTAGGAGAAAGATGGGGCTTGGAAGCCCCAGGTGAATCATTACATTTATCCATAGTAGACATACCACTTCTATCTTGGTAGCCGGGGTTAAATTGCTTGCTCATAGTTGCCGCAAACGCTTGCGTTTCCTCATCAGGACCAACCACATGTGTCATAAGGTTGCTCATAAATTGAATTGAATTTTTTGTATTAGTCACCGATCGAATTCCATTTAACACCTGCTCAGTATTCTTTTGTTGATCCAAGACCGGAGTTGGTTTCATCCCAATGACAATATTCGAACTATGAGAATTCCCATTGGCTTTAATTAGCCTATCTTTCTTTTTGGTGGCCCCCGCTCCATTAGCATTATAATGGTTTGACTTTCCAAATGATGATTGGCAATTTTTCCCTGCCAACGGATCACGTACCTTTATTATATTATGTGAAACCGCATGCTTTGGAATATGATCATTGGTTACCACGTGCATGGGTTGCATGCTTGCCATCTCGTCATGGCCCACCAAGGATGCATCATAGTATGTTTTATCCATATTTTGAGTTGGCCCTGTCACATTATCAATGCTAACCAAATTAATAGATTTTATGTTAGCTTTTGGATCCTTAGATCCCGATGCTTTAGAAGTTGGTTGATAAGTCACCTTATTCTTCTGGATATTTTGATTTCTTCCGTGTTTTTTTCCTTTCCTAACCAACATCCACGGCCCATAGAGATCTTCCAAATTCGGAATAGAATTTTCTTGATCTGGTTCAAGTGATTGATTAGCGATAAGAGACTTTGAAATCTCAGATTGCGTTTCAGCCATACGACTTCCATGAATCCCACTATCAACATCCATCTCACTCGAATCCATCTTTCCACCAACCACAACCCTTTAGAAGGTTGATCCAACCTTGGACCACACTGGTCCTGTCGATGACCATATTTACCACAGTTAAAGCAAATTGCATGTAGCCCTTCATACTCTAACTTAATAATATGGCCCATAACATTGATCTTAGACACCAATTTTTTCATAAGGTTGACTTCCACACATATTCTAGCAAATTTTCCTCTAGAATGAATAGAGGTCGTTTTGTCAATTTTAAGCATTGACCCGAGCTTACTACCCACTCGCCATAGGAATCAATCATTATACAGTTCAATAGGTAATCCAGGGATCCGAATCCAAGCCGCGACCTTCCTCGTTTGAGATGTCGTAATCGAGAAAAAAGGTCGCCATCGTTGTACAAGGATGTAATGATCAGCGATCATCCAAGGACCCTCATAGAGTGCATGACGATAATCATCTTCAGCAGAAAATTGCACCAAGAAGAAGTCATTCGGCATATCAATGATACGGACAGAACCCGTTTTAACCCACTCACGGTTCACCTTACTCTCTAAGGCCTTGAAAGAGACACGCTTTCCTAACACATTTATAACCAAAGCGTTCTTCCACGGTGTACACCATTCTTCAAACTCATCTTGTGATACATTGATGGTTGGACATGGGTCTAGCTCATCCTCATCATTGTCCAGAGGATTAATGTCGGAAGAGAACTCATCCTTGTATTCTTCCATCTCCTTCAATAAACTATTGTAATCGGTAAAGACTTTACCTCCTCCAACAGAAAGCACGCTTTTGACATAAGATTTTTTAGCACCATTGTCTTCTTTTGTTTCAGCCACCTGCACTTCCATCGTATCATCCAGTTGTTCGTCCACAGCTAGTCCCCCAGAGTCATCCTTCGTCTTGACTTTCTTGGTACAACGAAAAACCCCATTCTCAACCTCCGTCTCAGAAACCCTAGCAGAGCTCATCGTATCTTTTTTCTCTATTATTATTTTCTTTATAGCAAAGAAAGAAAACATTTTTAATAAGTGTATTTTTTTTCCTTTTCTTGATTTTCATGCATTATAAAAGTATTTTTTACTCCCTTAAAAAAAGTATATATTTTTTTTATCACTTATAACTCGGGTTATGTAAAAAATTTTATTCAAGTTTAACCACACTTAAAGTTGTTCCCTCTGAAAAAAAAATCCCCCTTTCCCAAACCCCGGCCCAATAATATATATCATGTGGAATTTGAATATAAAAACTAAAATACACATTGTGCTAAACTAAAATACACATTGTGCCTTAGTGTCAAATTATTAATTAAAAGTAGTTATTTAAAGTGATTTGGAATTTGTATTTTTTAATAAAGATCAAAATTTAATTTTTGTCTTAACATATTATTGCAATTAGGACTATGATTTTATTTTTATAGGGGTCAAAAAAATGTTAATTTGTTAATGAGATTAAATTATTTTAATTGAAAAAGATTTTAGGTAATCATATTATTAATTATTTTTAGTAAAGTCTTCTCTCTCAATAATATTTTTTTATATACAAAATTAACTTAAAACTTTATTTAAGGAGATTGAGTCCAATATTACTAGGACCAATAACTTGTTAATTAATTAATTGAAAATTTAATTAATAAGATGATACTTCAAAAATTAAATCGATGATTTATTATTATTTAAATTTTTATATCCATGCTTGAATTTCACGTTTTATATTTAAATTGGGAAATATTTAGTAATTATAGCAATTAAAACAAACAAATACTTTGGGGCTAAAGTTGATATTTATTTATTTGAAAATTTCTTCAAAATTAGATTATTTAATCAAAATAACATAGTTATTAAAAAAAATATTTAATAAAAATAAAAATAAGTAAAGTAATCTTTAAATTTTGATGAAACATTACATTAAATTAAATGTGAATTTATGAAACATTACACTAAATTAAACGTGTGTGCATGTGTGAGTGTATGTTTGTGTTTGTGTCTGTTGACTGTTTATCTGTGCGTTTGTGTATGTGGCTATGTTAACAATGTTGGATTTGTAGAAAAGATAGATAAATAAGTAAGAAAAAGAAGTTAAAGAGAGATAATGTTTTTATTTTTAAAAAAATTAAATTACTTTAATATCTCTTATACTAATTAACTAAATTAAAAGAAATGAGTCATATTTTTTGTCTTAAATTTGTTGTGTAAGGTGTTAAATCTTAAACAGTAAACTATGTAGCACTCATGTTTGAAGTGCCCATTCAGGTGTTGTGATTTAGTAGAGTGTTGGGTTAGTTGTGTGGTTAGGATTTGGGAAGGAAGGATGTGGTGTGGGATATCTCTTAAGGAGAGGCATGGAACTTCTTTTTAGAAGTATTTAGAGAAAAGTCAGAAAATATTTCCTCCTCTTCTTTTAAAAACCTCTCTAAGCATACTAATTAGGTAGAGGATCCAACCTTGTGGAGTTGGAGATCTTCAGTTGAAGTCGCATGGAGAGTCACTTCATTCCACCTTACTTCTCCGCTTGGAGATTTAGTTCTACAAGTGGCAAGGAAAGTTTGTTTTATTCTTGTTGTTGCATTTTGAAGTTGTGAAATCAAGGTTTCAGGGGAAGGTGAACCCAAAACCCAAAGTTGTTGATCTCTCGTTGTTGAGGGCGTGCATGTTGCATTTGAGCTAGTTTGCATGTTGAATACTTTGTTTAAAACTATTTTAATTATTTAGATTTGAGTTTAGAACTTGTAGATGAGCTTGGGACAGATTAGAGAGGATTGAAAACCCCAAAATCACAAAAAATAGAGATTGTCTCTATCATGAAACAATTAAGCAAAATTAAATATGAAAATCAAGAACGTCTCTAAAAGAAAATGGCAAGCCATTTTGAAACGGATGAGCGGATTGATTCTTTCTGAATTAGACTTTGTTATCTTTATAAAAGTTGTAACACTAGATGTTAGTCTTCCAATGATTTTGGAATCACCTAGAAAAGAGGTCTAGAACTCCAATTATGACCTTTTTAGTGGGCAAAAGTCTAGTTGTCAGTACTTAACCAAATTGTTATGATTTTTGCGATTTTTCAATATAGTAGATAATGAATTTAGAACTTTAAGTCTTCATAAGAGTTATAAATAATCTTCTTGTTTTTGATATGAGATAAGGATGATCATGATATGAGTAGTATAACTCTCTATGTGATATTTTATGTGAGGGTTGTTATTATATGAAAGTTGATTTTGATAAAAATTTATGATAAGTTGTCTTATAGTTGAATGAGAATATATGAACTGAATGATAAATAAAGTATGCTTCTAATTATGTTGATAAGGCAAAAGATGGTCTATGGATATGTTGCATATGTTATGAAGAGTTATAATTTAAATAGTGTAAGTTAATTGACGTGTACATTATAAGAATTATATATGCTAATTTGTTGGAGATGTGTGATGAAATGATATGTTGAAAATGTAGAGGGTTGTACCATATTTTTAACCGTGGCTATGGCCAGCGGCGGACCTTCAGCATGACAGGGGGGAGCCACGACTCTCCCAAACTTTCTTAATTTATATAT